CTTCTTCAGCGCCCCGACTGTACCGAGCATTGCTCGCGCTGGCCCTCAGGTACCCGCCGCGGCATGTTAGGACTGTTCTTGCGAATGGTGCATCACTACCGATGCCGGGCGGCACGGCTACGTTCACAGTCGAGCAGCCAGGAGGGGAGGGGTTCAGATGAAGGGATGCTGCATGAGCTCGGGTTGGCTGCCCAGGGCAAGAATGCAAATGTCCTCGCGTCCTCTCAGGGTATCGCCAACGGTATAAATAAATACTCGGAGGGCCCTGCAAGGCACAAGCAAGGTCTCGGTGAGGCCCCTGAGCTGCGATGCTGCATGTCAACAAAATGTTAGGAGGAACCCGCTGGCGCCCAAGAGGTTTCGCAATTCTGGGAGACCATGACGTAGGTTGTGGAAGTTGTCAGCTGCTGGCGCTTGTATTGGGAGCGATCTCACTCAGAACCCTGGGCGAGCAGATCGATCCACAGGCTCTTCATCATGCGAATGATGTGCACCAATGGGCCAAAGCGATCTGGGACGGTTCCCGGACTGTGGACGTGATGCAAGTTGTGTTTGAACAGGCTCAAGAACAAGCGACTGCAGCGAAGAGGCCGGGGTTCACTTCTACCTCTCCTGGGAACGTGCCGTTGCTCACCCTGGCTGAGATAGGCTGGGCACCAATGTCAGAACGCATGTTTCGCAGAGCCGACGAAGAACACGCGTGTGGCGTCTAGAACCCACAAGGCAGCGCAGTCGAAACCGCGTGAAACGCCTGTGGACAAGGACGCTGAAAAGTACTTGTGGGACGTCAAAAAAAAGCCGGATGGCGGTGCAGTCCTGAGCCCGAGAAACGCCTGTGGGACGCTTGCAAGGCCGCTTAACAGGGCCGCTTAACAGGATGTCGGGGAAGCTTACAAGCTCGAGAAAAGCGCTGCGCAGGAACCTCGAAAGAGCTCCGAAGGAGCTGCGGAAAGGCTTGCGGCACGCGCATTGGGACCGAGTAAGGAAACGGCTTCCAGATCCGCTGCAAGTGCAAGCAAGCCGCTGCGGGAAGCCTTGACCTGCGCCGGAAAGAGCTCCCGGGTGACCCTGCGCTGCCAGCTCCTGATCTGAAGCCCTCGTAGCTCTCAGAGAGCTCTCCGGGGACCTCCGCCCCCAGGCCGCACCCACCCTCTCGTCTCCTCCCCCCCCCCGCACCCCGGGCCTCTGCCCCGAGGCCGAGCGCGCCCGGGGCTCGGGAGGGAGGGAGAGCATCGATAACTTTTTGATTCGCGGGCCGAGAGCGCACCTCTTCGGGTCGAAGCCAAGCGGGCCGCGCGAAGCTTGAATTTGGCAGAAATGGGGGAGGAAAAGGGGGGCGCAGCCTCAGAACGAGGCTGGGAGGAGGCAAAACCTCGGAATCAGGCGGTGCCGAAGCCGACGTACTTGCAAAGGAGCGCCGAGAGCATCGGTAACACGCTGCCCTCGGCAGCCCTCCGCGTGCTGCTCCTCCGATGCTGTCCGAAGGCCTGGCCCTCCTTCCACCGTGGCACGCGGATGGGCTCCCCGCGGCGGCGCGTCACATGGATGCTGCCTTTGCGCGCCGAGGGGTCCAGCCCCCCGGGCCGCCCAATCCCGCCCCGAGGCCGCCCGGGTCCTCACCCCCAGGCTGGACGGTCCTAACCAGCCTCGAACGTATCCCTATCCCTAAGATTTGCAAGCCAAAAGTCGACGACAATCTTAGGGATGCGCCCTTAGAAACGGAGGGAATCACTAAGATCGTCATCGAGATGAGGCGATGTCAATCATAGGGATAGGGATATTAGTTCCAGGCTGGTGAGGTCCAGGCACACGCCCGCCGAGTCCCGGCCCCAGACGTGCGAAGTCCTGATTTTGCTCGGGACGGCGTCCCTGGAAGTCCCGACCCCTCCTCCGAGCCCGGCTCTTCGTCCGGACTCGTTGTTTGACGGTCCCGAGGCCAGGCGAGGGCCCCCCGCGATGCTGAAGATCGCCAGAAACCTCCTGCCCTGATCTTTTTTGCGACGCGATCCTGTCTGGGGCCCTCTCGAGCCCAGGCCGAGAGCACGCGCACACGCCCGGGGCCCGAGCCCCCAGCCGCGCGAGCCCAGGCCGCGCGCCTTCGCTGCCCGAGGCCTCCTCCGAGGCGGCCCGGACCCCGGGCCTGGAGAGTCCTTTTGAAGCTTCGGGGGGGGCCCTGCAGTAGGGGGCCACATGCGAACCCTACCCCTACACCCCCCACGATTTCTGAGGGGGAGGCTGGGGTTCACTTCGCTCGGGAGCTCCCGAGCGAAGTGAACCCCACCCTCCCCCTCAGAAATCGTAGGGCCGCTGGAAGGGGCGAGTAGGGGAGGCTCGCAAGCTCGAGGATGGAGCTTCGCAGGAGCTTCCGTGGAGCTTCGAGAGAGCTATGCTTTCTCGTTGGGGGTCTGGACGCAGCAGAGATTACGGGAGCACCACCAAGCTGAGTTTACGCATGCCAGATCTGCCAATGAGCCTCAAGAGCTCGTTTCCCCATGAGATTCCAATGCCCCACCTTCGACAACGAGAAGCGCGAGCACCTCACGGCAACAGCTCGCAGGGCGGCGTCACCCGCTGCCGAGTGATGTCAGGGAACTGCGAAAATTGCTGCTGGGCTGATGCCAGATCCGCGCGAGCTGGCCCCTCCAGCGCTGAGTGAAGGCGACTGTCAGATTGTTCGTCTGATACACCGTCGGGCGGTAACTGGTCTGGGAAGCGTGTCACCGATGGAGCTGCTCTCGACCCCACGGCTGATCGTTTCCGCCGAGCCAGTTGGTCGACCTGCATGGTTGACGATGATGGCGATTTGCTCCCAGCGGCCTACGGGCAAGCTCCTGGGCAAGTAACACCTCTACCGCAGGCACGTGATGGCGAGGATTACGCCTACATGATGGCGGCCTCGCGTGTACTGCGTGTGAGAATCTGCCACGGACTGAAAAGACTCGCGGGTGCATCTGGAACAGGCCAGGCTCGACCTCGGCCAGTGACCCCAGGGCCTACGTGTGTTCCGTAGCTTGGCATGTTTTCGAATACGGGCTGGCGGCACATAAGACGTCGACCCGCGTCACCGATAACGGTGTTGTAGAAGGCCGCTCTTCCCACGTTGAGAGGGAAGGGACCAACATGCTGAGAGGTTTGCCAAGAAGGGTGTAACATGCCACCCTGAAGAGCAGCAGGCCAAAGAAGTGCTTGACGAGTCAGTTCAGGTGCAAGAGGACTTGGCGAGGTGGGGTGGTGTCCAAGATATGTTGATGAGCCAACGTTCGTGGGCCAACGCTGGACGAACAGGACCCCCCTGCCGAGCCTTCGCCCGCAAGCAGGCAGAACGCGCACGCTGGGCTCACGAAGCCGCGGCAGGCCGAGGGCGATATCGGCGCGGCGTCCGGAGGGCGCTCCTGGAATTTGCGCGCCCGGTCGGAGTCCAGTGTGCTCGTTGGTGCTGCAGGCACGCAGCCTGCTGATGTTCAGGGCGCGGGATGGGACGGGTAGGGGGCGGGCCACATGCGAACCCTGCCCCTACACCCCCCACGACTTCTGAGGGGGAGGCTGGGGTTCACTTCGCTCGGGAGCTCCCGAGCGACGTGAGCCCCACCCTCCCCCTCAGAATCCCTTGGGGGGCAGGGCTGGGGTTCGCATGTGGCCCCCTAACGGGACGGGGCCTCTGGTTGGGGGAGGTGGGCGGGCGATGACCTGCACGAGGTGTGCGGGGGGGGGGGTCCGCGCGGGCGGGGGCCGGCTCTTTGTGCGGACCCTGCCCCACGATATCCGATGCCCCCCGACAGAAGGATCCAAAGAGGCGGAAGAGCCGATCCTTTACAGGCCTCTGCTCCGGTTGGGCCAGACAATACAAAGGAGGCCAATCCACAAGAACCTTCCGCGAGAAATCGAACACTGAGATCCCAGGACGTCCATTAATGTTTGGTGTGGGAACGTCGTGCTTTCTAAAGCAAGAACATCGAAACCCAAGAAACCCAGGGCAGCCTGGAGGCAAGCAGGGTGTTTCTTGACATGGGCTCCCACTGTATGTGACCCGACCTGGGGGGAAAGCCGGAACTTGTCACAGCTGCTCACCAAGTTCGGACGGATTAAACCAACTGGTGCAGATACGCCCCAAAGGGGAGCGATACACTAGCCCTGTTTTATTTTGTTGGGGCGCCAGGCACCGGCGGACGCTTTCACAGCTGGTAGACAGATAGATACTCAACTATGCCATGCGTGTGTGTTGGCATGACAGCAGCTGCAACCCAAAGAAAGGGGTGCCGCGGGCCGCCACAGCACAACTCCGCATGAAGAGTTGGCCCAGAGGAAGCCAAGGGTTTACGACCAGCTTCCCTTTATGGCGATCGTCGCAGCCCTCTCACAGTCCAGCGAGGCCAGTGCCGTCAGTGCCGCTGGCCACTTGCAGCCCAGGCCCCGACTGGCGAGCACATTTCTTCCACGTGCCTCCGGCTGCCGCGCTCTTGCGGAACCGCTTCCCAAACTGTGCCCGCCCCAGCGGCCTGGGATCACAGGGCAGCACCAGGGCTAGGGCATGCAGCCCCAGCGCTATAGGGTATGCCTCTGCGCTTCGTCTGTCAGCAGGGCCCAGCCCGCTCTCTATGACGGAACCTCACCCGGCCCTGAACCTTAATTTGGGCGCCCGAGTTATCCGGGGTAACTCGGGCCCGGGGTAACTCGGGTTCGGATTCCCGAAAAACGAACCCGAGTTTGCCCTGACCCGAGTTACCCCTGGTGATTTGGGGCTCCGGACGCCCGACTTATCCGGGGTAACTCGGGTCCGGGGCAACTCGGGTACGGATTTCCGAAAAACGAACCCGAGTTAGCCCTCACCCGAGCTACCCCGGATAATTCGGGGCTCTGATCAACCGTGCTGCGACGGAGGGCTGAAACGGCCAGCCTGCCCACCAGATGCTGAGGAGGCGCCGCGGTTCCTGCTCCCCCCCTTTCGGAGGCCTAACCCAGAGGGGCCAGGCCAGGCCCGCCGGGCCCCGACGCACGCTCGCCTTCGAGAGCGCCGACTCGCAGTCCTCGCACCACTGGTGGAACTTGCCGTACTCGTACTCCTCCTCCTGTCGGCGCCTCCTCCTCCTCCTCCTCCTCCTCCTCCTCCTCCTCCTCCTCCTCCTCCTCCTCCTCCTCCTCCGGGTGTGGTCTGCAGAGGGTGTGGCTTGCAGCCCGGCACCCCAGGAGGGCACCCTTAGGGGGGGTCGGGCGGGGGGGCCTCGGTCTGGTTCTGCGCCGCGCCCTGGGGAGGCCCGACGGGGACGGCGCCGTGCCCCCCCGCCCCCGGGGGGCCCCCAACGGCGCCGATCGCAAGCCACACTCCGGCGTGACCACACCCCGATGGGCGAGCAACGACATATGTACATGTACGCCCTCCACGGTCTTGCCTGCACGAACGTCCGCGTTGACACGCACTCCAGGGGAAACTAACCGCGTACGTGTACATATGTTGCTGGCCTCTGACCCGAGTCTCACAACAGCGGGGGGCGGGTCCAACAAAGCTGTGACAGCGCGCCTGGGACCCTCCCCAGGAGCGGTGCAGCAGCGGGTCCAGCACCGAGACCCCCCCAAAAAAATCTTGCTCGACGAGGCCCGCTGGACCCCCACGAAAGTAGACCCCCCCCATATTCTGAGACCTAGTTGGACGCCCGAGTTATCCGGGGTAACTCGGGTCCGGGCAAACTCGGGTTCGGATCCCCGAAAAAGGAACCCGAGTTAGCCCTGACCCGAGTTACCCCTGATGATGTGGGGCTCTGGACGCCCGAGTTATCCGGGGTAACTCGGGTCCGGGGTAAGTCGGGTTCGGATTCCCGAAAAGCGAACCCGAGTTAGCCCTGACCCGAGCTGCCCCTGATGATTCGGAGCTCTGATATTCTGAGACCCAGAGTGAGTGCTCTTTGCAGCCGCCGATCCTGAGACGCCTTCACCGCCTGGGCGTCCAGGTCCTGTCGGGAGGGGGCCCCGGCCCGAGCAGGAGGCCCCCATGGCAGGCAGCGAGGCGCCTATAGATCCGGCGCGGGGGACCTGCGACCCACTGCATCGAAGCAAGCATGTGCACTTCGACCGTTTGCGAGTACAGTCGGGGGCTTGACCTAAGGAACCCAAAACAAGGGACGAGGCCCCTTTTTTCCATGAGTTGAACTTCGATTTCCGATCGAAAACATCAGGAAAGCCTGAGGCAAGCTGCGAAACACTTAAGGAACGCGGAGCCCCTCCCCAACGAAAAGGGTTCCTTCTTCAGGGCCCCGACTGTAGGCACTTTGCGAGCAGTGGAACGCGTCCGGTGACCCAGCTTCCCCTCGTCTGCCCCTGCCCCAACCGCCCCTCCCCAGCCATGCCCGCACGCCCCTCCCCTCCCTCCCCCCTGCCCTCAATATGAATAGCTACTGGTCGTCGCTCTCCCTCACAACTTCCGATTCAGTCCCCTGACACGCCGGCAAACTGGACGTTGCCAATCCTGTCGTGCACATCCTGGTCCTATCTCCCCCCTCCTGATAAATTGGGCGACGGGTCAAGCACTCGAAACGTCATCTACGAATCTCAGACAGGGACATGCGCGGTGAGAAGGAATGGACAGAAGTCGCACCACGTCAGGCGTGATGCGGTCAGACCTGGAGTGCCCAGCCCCTTCTGGCCTGCAACTGCGCAGCCTCTCTCACCTGAGCACGCATTGTTTATCCGGCCGCTGCTTCCGCATGCACCCTCGGAGGCTCAAAAATGATAAGGAGGAGGAGGAGGAGGAGGAGGAGGAGGCAGGAGGAGGAGGAGGAGGAGGAGGAGGAGGAGCAGTGGGGATGTATAGATTTTGCTGAGCAGCGATCAGAAACGGGTCGTACGCGAGATGGCGCAGCGACCTTACGCGGCGGCTCACGCGGGCCGCCAGCGCGGCAGGCCACACTGTAAACGAGGGTGCTCCCGCGCGACCTCACGCGGGGAGCCTACGGGCGAATGACCTGCATGCTGCGTGTGCTGCTCTCCCGCTTGGAACGAGGCTGCTTGCTCCAAGTGGCGCTCTTCCCTCGGCGCCTGCCACACTCGTGGCCCCACTACACCTACCACTCATGCATACCAATCCTCTCTTGGGTGTCGCTTCATGGGGGCGCGCGAAAAATGCGGGGGGGAGGAAGGTGCACTCTTCGGGTCCCAACGGCTCCCTCTTGGACCCTACAGGGCCCCAAACCTAGAAAGGGCGCCTGTTCTGTCGCTCTCACAGTCCACCCCCATTATCGCACCCCCATGTATCGCCGCCCCACTCTCGCCGACCCGAATACGCTCTGGTGTCCACCCGCCTCTTCCGCAAATTGACTCTCACCAGCAGGAGTTCGGGATTTGGCATGTTGTGCATTTTTTGCGAGCCTCTTCCGCTGAAAGCTAAGCGGGACGCGCACAGCTTTAATTAGCAAAGACAGGGCGGAAGAAGGCGGGGCCTCACGCGGCCAGGAGAGGGCGACATGTTGTGCATACATGTTTCACTCGGAATGGGCTCGGTCTTCCTAGATGGCGCTTTCGTTCTGGCGCCTGCCACATTCGACCCCCTCGATTCACCCACCGTGAGCACTGCGTTCCTCCCGCCCCTGACCACATCGTGTTCCCTCGATCGGCAGCTCCAATACCCAGGTGGACGAGTAGCCAGCGCTAATGCCGAAGCACGATTCCCATCAGAGATGTGGCCCACGATGTGGCCCTCGACAACGATGAAGGCAAGCTCAAGCGACAGCACCAGTCTTGCAGAGACGTGGCCAACGCTCGAATGAGAGCACCATCCTACTCCTGCTGCTCCTCCTGCTGGTTGTCCTTCCTCCCGCTTCTCCCGGGCCACCTCAGCCGCACCCATGGCTTCTCCTGCTCCTCCTCCTCCTCCTCCTCCTCCTCCTCCTCCTCCTCCTCCTCCTCCTCCTCCTCCTCCTCCTCCTCCTCCTCTTCCTCCTCCTCCCCCCCCCTCCCCCTCCTCATTCCCATTTCTTGCCCCCTCCTCCACCGTGTCCTTCGCCTCATGCGTCTCATCCTCATCATCACCATCCTCTTCCTCCGCCTCCTCCTTCTCCTCCTCCATCAAGCGCCTCATTGACTCGAGCATCGCGGGCGACATCCGAGCTCTGACATGTTGGGTGAGGATTCTGGAAACCCTGCCTGTTCGCGTAGCCAAATAACATGCTGGGTGGGGGTAGGGGTGACGGAGAGAGGCAGTGAGAGGGATGGGACATGCATGTATGTATGGAAGTATGCCTGTATGGAAACCGATGCACGGATGTGCGCATGCCGTATGTTCTGACCCTATGGGGTTATGAGGGTATGGAGTGACGGGTGTATGAGGGCACAGATGAACGGCTGTATGAACGGCTATATGAGGATATTCAAAGCTATGGCGCTACAGGAATAGCGTACATGGAGGTATGAAAACGCATGCTGATGGGTGTCGTGCTATACAAAAAGACATGGGGCGATGTGGTGCGTGAAGGTATTGAAGGGCGAACGTTGACCGCCATCAGGCCTTGCGTCAGCTGGGGCGTGTTAGAATGCTCTTATGTTGTCTGGGCGGGTTTGTTGAGTTGTCTAGGGCCGCCCCCCCCCCCCTCGTCGCGCGCGTTGCTTGAACATCGTCCCCCTGAAGTTGCATCCCTGCTCTCTGTTCGGCATCCAGACGGTCAAGACATCCCCCGAGACGGCGTCCAAGACAGCCAAGATGACACCAAGACGGCCCAAGAAAGCACTTGGCAGCCCACGAGGCTCCCAAGACGGCTCCAAAATGGCCCTTGACGGCTCAAGAGGCTCCAAGACGGCCTCAAGATGGCCTCAACGGCCCTCAAGAGGGCTCCAAGACGGCTCGTGGGGTTCCAAGAGGCCCTCCAGGAGAGTCCGAGGAGGCCAAAATAACGACTGGCCTTGGTTTGTGTATGGATGTTGGGGTTCTCGCCAGCTGGGGTGTCCGACCGCCCTAGACGGCCCAAGAGGCCTCCAAGAGGCCCCCAAGATAGTTCCCAGACAACCGAAGAGGCTCCCAAGAAAGCCCCAAGTCGGGCCAAGGGGACCCAAAGATAGCTCACGGGGCACTCACGGAGGCCACAAGACGGCCCTGAAGCGCTCCAAGGAGGGCACCAAGACGGCCCAGAGGGGCCCCCAAGACGGTCTCCGAAGGCGTCAGACACGGGCCACGAGTCCCCTAAGATTGCCCAAGACGTCCCAAAGAGGCCCCATGAAGCCCCAAGAAACTCCTAAGAGACCCTCAGGAGGCTCCCAGGATGCCCCAAGAGGCCTTCTCCTCCTCATCCTCATTTCCTCTATCTTCTTCTCCTCCCTACGGCACGGACGAGGAAGAGATCGAGATCACGCCCACCTCCAAGTCAGACCGCTCTCTGAACTCCCGCGGGGCGTGACATCGACTGTTCTCCTACCGCGCGAACGAAAATGAGATCGAACTCACGACCCGTCGCAGTTCAGACCACTAGTCGGAACTGCGCTACTCATACACTCAACCTCCTGCCTGCTGCGCTGCTGCACAGGCACGGTGGCGGGGGTTGCCGCAGGCAGCTGGAGTTTGATGCAGCCATACAGAATGTGTGCATACATGGATGTGTGGAAGTGTGCATGTACGGAGTCGTGCATGTGTGGAGTAATGGATGTATGGAGGAATGTATACCCAGGAACTTTCAAGAGGTCACCAACAGCACCCAAGAAACCCCCAAGAGGGCCGTGCGGCCACTTATCCAAGTCCAAGGTACGGTGAATAGATGGGGCCGAGGTCGAATGGATACGTCATAGACCCCCCCTTCGGGTGATATAGATGGTGGGGAGGGGCGAGTGAGGCACATGCATTTCAATTGGCTTTGCATTCGAATGGCCTTCGGGTTGCAAATTGCAAATCGAGTACAGTTCCATGGCAGTCCGATTGCATGTGCGTTTCGATGTGCATGCTAGATTGCATGTCGACTTGTAACTCGATTTGGATTTCGAAATTCACGCCGCTTTGGGATTCGATGTGGACTTCGATATGCGCTTGGCTGTTCTGCTCGGTCTCAATGTTTCCCGAGTGAAGCGTGCGCTCAGGCGCTCTTACTTCGGATACCCGAGGACTTGAGAACGGGTCCGCCGAAATTGCGCCCGGTGCCCACTTGGTGGCCAATCGTTTGAGCAGGGACCAACCGTCCCGGCATTCCTATAGTCCTACCACGAAATGTTCTCAAACCCGATGTGTTAAACCAAGACAATCTCGACCCGAAACGTTCTAAGAACAGCGCTTCGTGGAAACCACAAAAGGTTCTTAGAACATGGCTCGGTAGGGCTATAGAGGCGAGCCAAGACGCTTCGCCACTGCTTGAGTCGTGGGCGCCCGGTGCCCACTTGGTGGCCAGTCTGAAGTCGGGCCTGTCCCCCTACAGGGGGATTTTCGACGAAAAATTATAGAAAAACAAAAAAGAACATCCAAAAATGGTCCAAAAATCGTCTGGGGACTATCTTTTTTGGTATTTGTTTGACCTCTTTGGCGCATGTTGGGGGTATCTTTAATTTTTCGTCGAGAATCCCCCTGGAGGGGGGGTGGGAGGGGGAGGAGGGGGAGGTGGAGAGGGCAAGCTAGGTGCGCTCGCGTCATATCTGACGTCCTACCCCTCCCTCTCATCCCTTACCATGGCGCTGATTTTCTCTATCCGCGGACGCGTGTCGTAGCGGACCTGTGGCTCCGCGCGCGCGTGCGTAGTGGGTGGTGGTGCACGTGCGTGCGTGCGTGCGTGTGTGCGTGGTTGTCGTGGTGGTGGTGGTGGTGGTAGTGGTGGTGGTGGTGGTGGTGGTGGTGCTGGTGGTGGTGGTGGTGGTGGTGGTGGTGGTGCTGTGGTGGTTGTGTCGTGGTGGTGGTGGTGGTGGTGGTGGTGGTGGTGGTGGTGGTGGTGGTGGTGGTGGTGGCGGCGCGGCGCGGTGGTGGCGGGCGGATGGGCGCGCGAGAAAAAAGGCC